GTGGATAAAAATATTCTCATTTAAAAATTTCCGAAGCTATAAAAAGCCTACACATTGTTGCGCCGACTGCTTGTGTTATTTGAAAAACTTTAAATGAGTTTTATTCTTTCCAAGCCACACACAAGCGTAATGTGTAGACAGGCTTGCCATTATTACAGTCATGTGTAAAAGTATGTTAATGACAGTACAAAAGTGACACTTTCTTGTTGTGCGATGAAATCACATTTTTTCCAGCAACAACAAGAAAGTTGTAATGAAATAAAAAGGCAACAAAAAGATTTTTAGAACACTTGTTCTAGTCATACTTACATAAAAGCGTGTATGCCCACAAAAGCGGAAAGTCATGACATTTAATATGAAAATCATGTAACGGCTTAATAATATAAAAAGAAAAACATAAAATGAAAAGTTTGCAGCGTAAAAGCTACATCTCACTACTTCTGATGTCATGTAATAAAGACGAATATTGGTTTTGTTTATAGATATGAGCGGAATTTATACTTTTTTTTTGACAAATTTGCTGCCGAATAAGTCATTTTTGTTAACAATTCTACATTTTAGAGTGGATTAAATTACTCTCAAAAATCATATTTCTCGATCACTACTCGCATATCTAAGAAGTTCGTGGGAGAATTTCAATTGATCCGTTCAGCAGCTACTGGCACATTTCAACTTTGAAAAAAAGCGTCCATTACACTAAGCTTAAATATTCTCACAAATGTACTCATATTTCCGTTGGTCTGATCAACCATAGGTATCAGAGAATTTTCTGAAGTACATTTAGATTGAGTATAAAACTCTCTTTTGATTATGCGGAATGGTATTAACTCCGACCGGATTGGTCTAAACAGGCTCCTAGTGTCTCTTTCTCTACCAAGGCCAGCAATGCCAGCTGACTATAGGTTTATATCCTTGCTATATTCTCGCATAGGTAATCAATATGACACCAAAGGTTTTCTTTATACCTTGCCCGCTTGAAAGATGGTAGTTGATTTTGATAATCGGATAGTGAGAAAGCTTTTGAGATAATCTGAGCATACATCCGCACCTACTCCGCAGTCGATTTTGATCCGTCGATGTAGATAGAGCTTGTATCAGCCACCCCTACTAAAGCTCTTCTCCATTCACGTTCTGAGGATATCCCACTCGGAATGATCTATTGAATTCTAACCTTGGCAGGATATAGTTTGATTTTTATAACTCTAGCTGGCTTACGATGGCGCTTCTGTGGGAGGTATTATTGCTTCGATGCAATCAAAGTTAAAATTATTTTCTTCTTTGACTATTATATAAATAAGGTTTAGTTTAGATTTTCTTACTAAATTCGCGGAAAAAATATTTTTTTTATAAACAATATTTTTAAATAGCTGAGGCTAGAGAAAAAACATAGAAATTTTGGAATTTTGGGAAAAATGTACGTCTTTCAAGCCGTTGTTAAAAAGTTTTCTAATTTATAGAATTTTAAAGAAAAGTAAGTATTAAGCACAATAGACCTAAGGTTGCGGTGCAATCCACGTCAATTTATTATATCTTATTACAAGTTCTAAGATATCAAACATCTAATTTAAGATGTCAAAATCGGTGCTTTTAGCGCTTACTTTGAAATTCCTCAAACTCAAGATGAGCGATTATAGCTTTTCACCACATTAAATCTCAATAAAATAATTGCCCAATTGATGTATACTGCAACCACCGACTTTCAACAACTTTATTCTTTTGTTTTACAACTTTTCGGACATGCTGACGTCAATCGCATGCGGCCATAATATTAATCAAAAACAATTTTACGACGCGGGCTCACACCGTTTCACATTAATAAAAGTTTCCGATGGTAATGATTACTAACATCACAAATACATGAAAGAACTAAAGAACTTGAAAATAGTGAAATGGAATCAAGTAAATACTCATATATATAAATATATATATATATGTATATCTAATATTATATACACTTAAACGCCACTTAGTGTGATTGCATATAAAACGCACATTTAGTCACCACATAAATTGAGCAAGAAGAAGAAAAAAAGAAGCGTTTTAAACGACAGACATTACATAGTTGAGAAAGTGGATCATGAATAAGTAAAATATTTGCGAATCAAAAGTGAAGACGCAATCAAATGCACTACTCCGCAGCCCCCGCAACACACGCAATTCATTTCAACGCGTATAAAATTACTTCGGTCGCAGGCGAATGTTTACCCAAATGCTCGACTGGAACTCGCCTGTGACATTTAAAAATTAATAACATTCAAGCGAACCCGAACATGCTGATGGATTGTTGACTTTGTTATTGAGGTTGCTGGCAGCCATTGTTGGTGTTATTGAGATTGGCTGCGGCTTTGGCTGTGGTTGTGCCGATGGCTATTATTACATTATAAATGCTAAGCCACAAAACGAATGCGAACGCTGCAAATCATTAGCCAACAATGGACTACGGACAACTTAATGCTTCCCACTCTAATAATATGCAAATTTATGTGTATATATAGTATAGTACATATGTATGTATAAATTGCTGGTAATTATTGAACTTTGTATGTGGGCTGATGACAAGCTCAATAGGAGAGATGCTTCAATGAATGTGAATATAGTTTTCGAAGGGTTAAGCGGACATTTCATATGAAATAAGTGTTAGGTAATTGGAAAATAATTATAAAATAATTGAAAAGTAATTAAAAAGTAATGGAAATTAAATTTTAATTTTCGAGGAGAAAAGATATGGACATTTTATAGGGAATAAGTGTAAAGTAATGGAAAGTAATTATAAAGTACCTAAAACTTAATGGCAATGTTCTCAGAGAGTAATTTAAAAGTAATGGAACCTAGTTGAAGTCTTAAAATATAGGCAAAAAACATTTATAAAGTATTTGAAAGGTAATTCGATAGATTTAATAAAGTAGTTATAAAATAATTGAATAAGTATTCGATAGTGATGAAAAAGTAAGTGAAAATAATGGTAACTAAATTTGAATTTTCGAAGAGATAAACGATTGTTTGATAGTGAATAAATGTAAAGCAATTGGTGAGTAATTATAAAGTAATTAGAACTTAATTGCAAAGTATTCAGAGAGTAATTAAAAAGTAATTGAAAAACAAAGGTAAATAAATTTTGTGTTTCGAATAAGTGTAATGTAATAAGTTAGTAATTAGAAAGTAATTAAAAAATAATTCAAAAGTAATTATAAACAAATTGAAAAATAATGGAAATTAAATGTTATTGTATGGCATACTAGTTATAATATGTAGGCATAAAGTAATTAAAAAGTAGTTTAGGAGTAATTGGAAAGTAATTTAAAATAAATAAGATTTAAATATTAATGTATGACACGTAAATATTTAGTACAAGTTATAAAATATAGGTAGTTAAAGGTACTTAGCACTAAAATGAAGAGAGGTATGGAATAAACGAAGCTCCTTCAATATTGTTTTGTAAATTAAGCGAACTTCGAAATATCACATAATTAGGACCACGAATTTAAGGGCCATTCATATGAAAATCGCGCTGAACTCACCGGAAGAGACCGAATATATACCCGATTAAGGATTATCGCCTCGGCAGACTTTCCAGAATACATTTTTTAAATGATTTGTGACACCGCAGCAATAATATTATTATAAGGCTCACAATTTAAACATATTAAGTTTTTAATATATGACTTGAGTGCTTTCTAAAATATAAAAACGTGCGTAAAAGTTGATTAGTTTGGGAGCAACGTGACAAGTACAACACTTGGAATCCTCTAGCGCGTGAAATAATGATTATCAAAATTTTTCTAAAAGAGAATGAACTGCTAAATGTGTTCTTGTACAGCTATTCCACTACTTCTCTGTAGCAAAGGAAAGAGTTGAGAAAGAAAAATTGCTGAAAATTTTTAATCTCACATCAAACAAATGCTTGTTAGAGCTACTGGTTAAGACATCCAATGTAAACTCAGCTTTAAGCAGGTCACATATGTAAATACAATAGGTTCGGGTCAAGACAAATTATATTAGATCTCATAAGTATCAATCAAAATGAATGACACTGCCATATACCCAAAGAACTCTATGAAAAATACCTATATTTTAGAATAACATGAAAACTTAAGATAAGAAATTTTAAAATCCGCCAAATTTCAATCTAAATTTATCTTATAGCTTCGCTAAAGCAATTAACTTTAAGTAATGGCTGGCTGAAATGACACGTGCAGCGTATTAAAGCTAATACAAAAACCCCAGAAAGAACACATTTTAGATATTTAATTTGCAACTGGTTATGTGCATTGATGTATAAAACTTTTTTGCCAACTACAATAGTAGTTTCCTGAGTCAAACATCAGTATGCCTTAAAATGTTGAAATACATTGATTAGTAACGTTGCGTATACGCCACGTGGCACGGCAGGCAACACACAACTCACCGCCGCAAGTGTGGGCACATAAAAGTTTGTTTTCCTGAATTGAAACAAGTGTAATGCTTTTCATTAAACAAACTCATGCATAAGCTAAGTCAGCCAGCGGCAGATTAACTTTCAAAGCGCCCACATAGCGATTTGCGTCTCGGTGAAAAATAATGGAATTGACAGCTATTTTTAGCTGCAAAGAGGCAACTGTTGGCGGCTATTTACGCACAGAAAACCAAGTTGAAGAAAAGAAAACAAAAAATATAAAACTCAGCACAAATCATATGTAGGCTGTTACTTGCTTATACAAATACGTATACATGCATATATGATGTATGTGAAAGTGGCAGAAATCGAGAGAGTTTTGGCAAATATTTTAGCCAAAAAGCGAAAGGAAACTAAAAGGCGTAAGTAAAGCGTATGAAAGCAAAAGTGCCCTTATACATACAGACAAAAATATGAAAATTCAAGTATACACGTGGTGAAATGTGGGCGCTGCGCTGCGTATGAGCGGAAGGCGCGAGCATTCAAAGTAGCACTTTGCTGCAGACAATTTGAGTAAAATTTAGCAAGAGCGTATTGGATAAATTTCACTGACATTAGCCATACTCACCTCAGACAATTGACGTACATATACACCGTTAGGGCGCACGGCGGATAAAGCACGGTACAGTAAATGGCAATAATGCAAGCCTTCAAGTAGGTGTTAGCGCCTAGAAAGAGAGTAAGAAGAAGAGTGTATGTTGAATTACGAAATAAATGTTATATATACACAAGTATTGCTATGTTTGTCATTAAATGGAAACATCTTTAAAAACATAGTTGTGGTGAAATATCTGCATTTGTAATTTTTAATTAAACAATGGAAAAAACAAGATTTGAAAAAAAAGCAGAAAAAGTTATTAAAATTATAATAATAACATTTCTCGAATCAAAACTTTATATGAAAATAATATTTCAGAAAAACTTAAACAAGTTAATGTTTGATGCATTTGTATTGAATTCGAAAAATTTTATTGAACTTATTTTTGAAAACAATATGAAATATTTTATTAAATTAATTTGGATGTTTTAGCATATACATATATACAAAGTAAAATTAGGTGTCCCTTTAATATAATATTATTAAGATCAGGTACTCCATAGTGGTTTTATTCTCTTAATTTTCATCTCCATATTTTTTTTTCGCTGAGTTATCACTCAAAAACATCCCACTCATATAATTGGAATCGACATAGTCCCTCTTATATATTTTGGTGAAATTAACACGCATTTCTGTTAAAAAGTTACAGGTTAATCTTCTAAACCTCAAATTTGTTTCTCAAATTTCGAACAGGTTACGAAAACTGTGTTATGCAGTTTCCAAAGGATATTTGGATCATTATAGGTTACATAAACTTTACTTCCCGATTAGTACTTTAAATTTAAATCAAATCTTCACCAATCGCAGCTGGTCTCACGATTGACTTTCCATTCAAAAAGAAATGATAAATGGGTACTAACACATATGATAGAAGAGGGCTAAATGGAATGGCACTTCATTTCTAAAATGCTTATAAATTGGCGAGTAAATTGTAAAATTATCTATAAAAACTAGTCGTAATTCCACTTGGCATAAATAATGGGACTCAACTTCAACAACTTCGAGGTTTAAATATCATTTGCTAAAAATTTCCATGTTTGGCTGAAGCTCTTAAAAAGTTCCCGTTCATACTTAATACTTAAAAAAATTTTAAAATAAAAATAAATAAATATTCTACAAAATCTATGTCGTTCCATTCAAAATAATCTATCTTAGCCTCAATAGATTTGTGTGAAGGTTTCTTTTGCAATATCCAAAACAGTGGTTAAAGTCAATTTCCGGAGTAGCAATACCCAGAAGTCACACAAATCCGGCGAATTCCGGCCTCCTTTTACGAATAGCTTTGCCAAATTACGCATAACACAGCAATAATCGAAAAAAATAATATTAATTCGACGAGTGGCTTCTCACGCGAAATTTATATTATATTATATTAAAAAGTCTTACTATTTTTTGCCCACACTATAATGAACGAAATTTTATTATAAGAAAATTTGTATGATTGAAGCTCTTAAAAAGATCCATACCTAAAACGTAATATAAAGAAAGCTTTAAAGGCGGTCAAATTATTTTTAAAATGTAGTACATTTACTCTGTCAATAGTATTAGCTTTCATTCTAGAAAACAAATATTCGCATAAACGAATTATACAATATATGGGTACCAAACTGAGAGGAATATAACATCACTAACCGGTTTATTATACTCAAGCGTCATTCATATATTACACTTAAACATAATTTCACCACAGCGACCAAAAATTGCGTGTTTTTCTAGCTCAAAAAATACTTCAAAGTGGACGACAAGCTACCCTAAATCGCCGTAAGAAGTTCAAAGCTCTGAAGCACACAACTTTAAAGCTCCACCTCTTTACTTGAAAGCTTTACCTAAAGTTCCGAGAAACGAATCGCTTATGAGCTTTACAAACTTCAGAAAATTACACATAATGCTTATGCGCTATCCATTATAGATATAGTTTGTGTCCACTAACGATAGGCCTCCTGTTGCTATCGCCTTAAAGCTTTCGCTCAAAGCTTTCTTAAACAAACAGCTGTTTAATGCTTTTCAACTACATATATACCCTTATTTCACACTCATTTATTGCATATACATATATATGTATATATACACAATATATAGGGATATCTGAGTACCAACGCCACTACTTGTGGTTGCCTCGACTCGCATTTGTCACTGCTGCGTCTGCGCGCTCTGCACGCTACCTACGCTGAACGCTTTCGTGACTGCCTCCTACCCGAATATACATGCAACGAATCAAAACTCCTTAGCCACCCCTACCAGTGAAGCTCTCACTTGTCGTGCTGCTTCGTCGGCTTTTCGTCGTTGCGACTCGTGTCGGCCTGTCGCGTGTTAGTGCGTGCTGCTGAACAGCTTCATTGTGACCACAACCTGATGCTTTGCATCAGTTCGACCTGGTGAGCGCAGACTAAACGTTCGAGTTGAGCGGTTAAATAGGTGCAAGTATCCTAACATAGTAGTAGCACAAAAAAAAAAATTTATAAAATCCTCAGTCAAGTGAAAGTAACCAGTAACTCTGCACGCAGCATTCAATATAACACGGTAACAAACGAAAGCACGCTGGCGGTCCGGAAAGGAATTTCATATTTTGCACGAGAAACTTGTTGACTATCTGCATTGTCTACAATAAAGTTAACTATTGCTGTTTTTGTCGTTGTTGTTGGTGCTGGTTTTTAATGTTGGCATAGAAATTTTCACTCGACATTCCACACAAGTCGCCAACATATGGCAGCTTTTGTGCCAGCATCGCTGTATGACAATATGCAAAACGCTTATCGCCAACTTAGCCGTAATGAGGCAGCAGTTGTTGAATGGTAAGTACATACATACATATATGTCAAGCTGGGTGTGTGTGTGATCTGTCATTGCTTTATTTTGAAAATAAAAGAAAACTGAAAAGCGCTGTCTTGCCTAAGGACCTCTTTGTTCTTGGCTGAGCACACACTTGAAGTTATGAGAAGCGCCATCAGTCTGTTGAGGTGTCAACTAATGCATTGTCGGTGTAATATTCTCTATACATATACATATACAAGCATATGTACATATATTTGTATATGTGCATATGTATGCATGTATGTGGGTCACAAGCTGTGTGCGACCTGTTGAAATAGAGGCCCATATAAAATGCTGATAAAATTTGTTTGGGGTTCGATAAAACAGTTTATGGCAGTTGCCTGGTGAGTGAGGCTCATAAATATGAAATCGTTAAACGAAAGTTAATTAGTTGCCTAGTAAAATGATGAAACTATTGCTAACTGTGGCGTAATTATGTGAAAATGTGTTTTTTTTTCAATATCTGATTTACGTATATTATCTGTCGAAAGCTAGCCATAAAGCTAACATATGCCGTAATGGGAGCGCGCTGCTGCTAGCCAAGTGCTTAGAAATCCATTAATATATATATTCATAATGATAAAAAGTTATTAAATATTGATAATAATTAATGAGTGCGAAAATAGAGAGTAATGCCAATTGAAATAATTTTACTTGAAGGGCATTGCTATCTCATCCTTTATCTATATTATAGGCAGTTTTAGTGTGATATATGCTGCGGAAAATCAAGTTGGCAAAAACAAGTTTTACACTTTTCTTATATGTATTTAAAGCGTAATTTCCATATGCCTACTGATTAATCGAATCTGTTCAAAAATCGTGTGAATGGCGTTTTAGAAATTAGCCGAAAACGAAAGACCCAAAACTTGATGATGGCACTGAAGGCCATCCCAATCGAGATTTGTGTGGATAAAAAATTGGATTAAGCGTTGTATGAGCTCAGAAAACTCGATGAAGCCCATCCAAGTTGAGATTTATGCGAATGACGAATTGGATTAAACGTTGGCATGCTTGTATTGGCTCAGAAATCTATTCCCAAGGCGATAATAAGATTTGTATTAAATTACGTGAAAATATTTTTTTCCCAGTCCGAGTTAAATTTGAGATTTTAGACTTTTTCTACATAAAAAACAAGAAAAAACATTAACTTCGGTTGCACCGAAGCTAAATACCCTTCACAGGTGCATTTCTCTTAATAACTACATATGTGTTCAATTTGTATGGAAGCTATATGCTATAGTAATTCGTTCACACGTCAAATGCGAGAGTTTTCCATACAAGAACTTTACTCCGATCGTTCAGTATGTATGTCAGCTGTTTGCAATAGTTAACCGAATGGAACAATTTCTTCGGAGACAATATTGTTACTTTATAAAATAACCTGTGCCTACTTTTGTGAAAATACATAGTCAAATGGGAGAGTTTTCCATACAAGAACTTTACTCCGATCGTTCAGTATGTATGGCAGCTATATGCAGTTCCGTCAAATGAGCAGCGTCTTGAAGAGAAAATGACGTTTGCAAAATTTCAAAACGATATCTTAAAAACTTAGGTCGTATATATACAGACAGATAGATGGACATGGCTAAATCGACACAACTCGACATACTGATCATTTATATATATATACTTTATATCGTCTCCGACCATTCCTTCTGAGTGTTACAAACTTCGTGATAAACTTAATATACCCTGATCAGGGTATAATAATTGAACCGTTCAGTGCGAATTGTGGTATGTCGATAACATTTTTTGGAAGTGTCAAACAATGGTTGAAATGGTTATGCACAACACTGTATCGTTCCTAAACCTTTATAAGGATCTTTTTGAGGAAGAAGAAATGCGGTTCTTGTGAAGTATGTATATGACGCCGTCAGTTGATGCTTAAAGCTCATAAGAAATGCATCAAGTTTTCGAATCCAATGACATTTCACTAGCACCCGGTGGTACACGATGCGATGGAATTTTGAAATTGCAATTTCTAGGCTATTTGTAGCAATATCGTTAGATCCGGCAGGGGAATAAAAGGACATCTGCAAGAATCATAGATACTTCAAAAATAAATTTTATCTATTTTTTACAATACTACATACTAAAGAATATTCCTTATGTTTCATAAAGTACTTCAAATACAATTACCAGTCATATGGAGTAAAGTCACCCGGAAGTTTTTTGTTTGTTATATTGGGCCTAGCTCAAGTTTTCGCTTTATTTTATCTATTTTAGGTACGAACACTATTATGAGTAAAAGACAATCTC